CTCTTCTGGTCTTCGGTCTTTAGTGTTTAATTCATCAAATCTGTTCTTCAGATGATCTCTAAATTCAGGAGGGATAAATTCAAGATCATATTTTGGCTCTTGTAGATTTGTTTTCATTTTCTTCAGCTTTAATTTGAATTTGCAAATCAGTAACTGATGGTCTGTTTCACAGTCTGCCCCTGGCCTTGTCTTCACTGATGATATGGAGCCAGTGATAATGCAATTTAAGAATTCTACCAACTTCTCAAGTTTGAAACTGTTCAACATGCAATCACCATGCACTGATAATTACTGGTGATTAGAATGTGAAGTTTGGAAACTAAGAGAAAAGATCAGTAGTTGAAAAATATGGCCTTGATGATAGAAATGATGCTGGTGATCACATGATTGAATTTTGCAAGACCAAGGAGCTATTAATTGCAAATACTTCTTTGAAAAATATGGACTTTCAGACACCAACTCAAGACCAGATTAGACGCATTACACACTAACAGCCAAAGCCAGAGAAGTTGTGGGATAACATCAAGAACATCATACAGGAAAAGAAGAAAAGGACACTGAAGAGACAGGAAAGAAATAAAACACACAAATATATGTCAGATGAGACTCTGTAACTTGTCCTTGATTGTAGAGAAGTTGAAACATCTGCAAGAAATGAGGCTAAATGTCTATCAATGGAAGAATGGAAAAACAAACTTTGTAAATATACACAATAGAATACTATGCAACGATGAAGTATTTAAATAAAACGAACATACAACACTGAAAATATGGAACCAAATACATCAATTTGATGTACAAAAGAAAAAAGAGGGACTAGTATAGATGCAAAATTTCCAAATGGCTAGGAAGTCAAGTAGATGTCCAGATAAAACAGAGAATTTTAAATATGGAAAAATTGATAAATTACAGTGCAATCTCAAAGAAAATTAATACACTTGCACATCAAAATAAGAGGAACTCCAGAAGAGTTAATAAACAGAAATGAAGAAAATGATAATAAAAGCCACAAAATTAACTCCGTGCAAAAAAATTATATAGCAAAAAGAAACCAACAGCACCACAAAAACAACACAAAGCAAATGACAGCAATGAATTCATACTTAACAATAATTACACTAAATGTCAAGAGACAGAGAGAGCAGAATGAATAAGAAGATAGGACCCTTCAATATGGTGTCTACTTTGGTATGCACACACAATGGAATGTTATGCAACAATGAGGAATAATGACGAATCTGTGAAATACCTTTTAACATGGCTGAACCAGAAGGATATTATTATGAGTGAAATTAGTTTATCACAAAAGAACAAATACTGTGTGAGACCAATGTACAAAGTTAAGAAAAGGTTTTCCTAATAAAAGAAACAATCAATGCTGGGTACGGGGTAGGAAACATTATTCATGAATTAGAGAGTAGCCACATGTTACCAGGAATGACAGGGCAGGCAATATACAACAACAAGGAGGTCAGCAGAAGAAAGATGAAAGGTGTGGGGGGAGATGGGGAGTAATGCAATGTTTAACGTTAATAGAGGTAAATACATGGTGGACTGTAATCATTGTAATGAAGTACATGATTTGCTGAATGTGAAACTGTTTATCTGCTCTGTAAACTTTCACTAAATTCACAATACAAAGTTAAAAAATAAGATAGTAAAAATCTAAATGAATGTCAGAAGAGACTCTGAAACGTGCTCTTGAGTTTAGAAAGGCTAAAGTGAATACGAGACATGAAATGGTCAAAGAGTTGAACAGAGGTGAGGACTGTACTAGTAGACACACCCAGGGAAGGTCCCATGCCTACCCAATAGCTGAGCACATAAATGAAAGGCGAGGAGACAAGAGAAACAGCCTACACCAGCAGGTACTGGTCCAAATCGGTCATGGCCAACCCAGGGCTAGTCCTCCTTAGGAGAAGCAGCCAACTGACTTGAGAGGAAGAAGGAAAAAAAGGCTGGTGATAGGTCAGAGAGGCACAGTGGGACAATCTTGAAATATGTCAGGTGGCTGTGACGGTAAGAAGCCATTCTTCTTGTTGTTGCTGTAAAGTGTTGTCAAGTCAGTTCTTACCCATAGTGACCCTGCATAGGGGTTCCCAAGAGTGGCTGGTGAGCTTTAAATGCTGACCCAGAGGATCAAACCAACCTTCCAATCCAGTGCATTAACCCACAGGGCCACACCAGGGCTCCACTGGGTGATGCTAAAGAATTACTCTTAATTTCCCACTGTTGTTCCCTGATATTTTTTCTTCTTCTTTTCCCAGCTTTATTGTCTTTATATTGTTTTTCTGATTTTTGTTTTTAATTTTGTTTCTTTGTCCTCCTTTTATCTTGTGGGTGTGTTTTCTCTTCTTGCCTCACCGAACAAAGACACAACCATGGCCATGGCCATACAGCCCAGCCACAGCCATACCCTCTACAACCCCAACAATTGAGCAAGAGCCATTCCAGCTGCTGTTACACCAGAGCAACAACTACAACCATCATCTACTAATCCACACTGAGGTGAACTGTATGATCAGTGAACAGAGAAACTTATCTCACGATTTCACCAACCAGAGGCAACTATCAAGTGCCGAAGAATATACTAACATACATTCATCAACTTAATACAAACAAAATAACACGATAATGTCTAGAAAGCAGCTGAAAATTTCTGTCAACATGAAGAAACAAGACACAGTAGCGTAAACAAATGATCAAGAGGAAAAGCTGGAAAATGCTTTTGAGGAAGAAGAGGCACTGAACTACCTGAAAAATAATTCAAGAGAATTATAGTGGGGTACATAGAAAATGACTCACAGAAAGGACAAGGAAAATTTTAGAAAAATCCTACAGGAACAATCAAACAAATATACAGCATTGGAGACAATACAAAACCTGCAAACAGAAATCCAGATCAGTAGCTACTATCAGAATTACATAAAAAGGGCAAAGGAAATTTGAATCAATGGAAGCCAGAATTAGCAAGCTTGAAGATAAACTCTCAATACTATTAAGCTAGAAGGACCAAAAAAAAAAAAAAACACTAATAAAAAATCTAAGTAAAGCATAAGATTCACTTGGGGCAGCATACAGAATAATCAACAACCGATAAGAATTTCAGAACAGGAAGAGACAAACAAAACCACAGAAAAGACAGTCGAAGAGCTTCTGGAAGACAATTTCCTTAACATCATGAAAGACTAAAAGATAAGAATTCAAGAAGCTAAACGAACCCCAGGCAGGTGAGACCCCAAAAGAAATCATTAAGACATATTATAATTAAATTCTCCAAAGTAAAAAAGCCAAGGAAAGAATCTTGAAAGCTGATCGGGAAAAACAAAAATGTTACCTACAAAGGAAAACTAGTAAGATTAAGCCCTGATTTCTCAACAGAAGCCAATTTAGGCAACAAGGTGCTGGGGAGACATATACAAAACTCTGAAAGAAAAAAACTGCTGACCACAAATCATATACCCAGCAAAGCTGACCATCAAATATGAGGGTGAAAGTACACCATTTCTGGATAAACAGAAATAAATGTACTTTGTAAAAGCCAAGTCAACTCTCCAAAATATACAAAAGGAAATTATTTGGACTGAGAACCAACAAGAGCAGACAACAATCAGAAGCTGATATACATGGCAACACCACCCAGAATTCAGTATAGATATGGAAGTGTCTAAGGAACTCTGGTAGCGTAGTGGTTACGAATCGGGCTGCGAACCTTAAGGTCAGCGGTTTGAAACTACCAGCCGCTCCGCGGGAGAAAGATGAGGCTTTCTACTCCCGTAAGGATTTACACCCTCGGAAACCCTGTACAGGGTCGCTATGGGTCGGAACCGACTCGACGGCACTTAACAACAACAACAACAAGAGGAGAACAAAACTACAAGACTGAAAACAGGGAATCTGGGATGTCAGTCTATGACTGGCAAAACTACACAGTGAAGGGAGGGAAAAAGTATACTTACAGACTCAAGGTAGGGAAAAGGCCAGGGAGATATCAAAATTAAACAGACTGTTTTTAAATGGGGAAGAAATTAGTAAAGAATGGGGTAACCTCAAAGAAACTTAATACACCTTCATACTAAATCAAGAAAAGGAAAATCCATGAAGATTTTGGAAATATTAAAACTATGAAGAAAGTGACAGAACAAAGCACACACAAAAATGACCCAGCACAGGACAGCATAAAGAAAAAAGAAACCAGCAACACCACAAAATCAAATAGCAAAATGACTGCAATCAGTTCCTACCTATTGATAACTACAGTGAACGTCAATGGATTAAATGCACGAATCAAGACACCGAGTAGCAGAATGGATTAGAAAACAGGATCCTTCAATACGCTTTCTACAAGAAACACACCTTACAGAGACAAAAACAGATTAAAAATTAAAGGGAGGAAAGAAGATATCAAGCTAATTGCAATACAAAAATTAGCAGGAGTGGTAATATTAATCTCTGATAAAATAAACTTTAAGGGAAAAACCAGCATAAGAGACAAAGAAGGACATTATCTCATGACTGGGTCTCAACTGAACAAGAAGACAATACCATAATAAGCACCTATGTGCCCAACTGAAGAGCTCAAAATACACAAATCAAATCCTTAAGGAATTGAAGAAAGAAACAGACAACTCTACAATAATAGTGGGAAATTTTAGACTGCTTTCTCAAACAGAATACCCAAAAAGAAACTCAATAAAGACACAAAGGAACTAAACAGCAGAATCAATCAACTTGACCTCATAGATTTCTAACTAGCAATTCATCCAAAAACAGCACAATACACATTGTTTTTCTAGTTCACATAAACATTCTCCAGAACTGACCATGTGTTCAGCCACAAAGCAAGTCTCAATAAATTCAAACCCATAGAAATATTACAAAGCTATAAAATTAGACATCAACAATAGGAAGATCAAGGAAATAAAATCAAATACATGGAAACTGAATAACATCCTACTTAAAAGTTACTAGAAACAACAAACAAGATGGCAGAACGGGTGGAAGTGCAGTAAGGAACTCCGTCAGCAACAACACAGAATACAGGACCAAGCAGGTTCAGGGGATGGTCCCAAAACTCTGAACCACATATAAAGGAATATTTAGAAGGTTGGAAGGCTTAGAGCTAGGGAAATTTGTAACAGAAGCAAGATATCCATTGCTTTCTAATTCAAGACACAACACTAAGTTGTTCCAGGAGCTGCCATCTTGGGTGAGACCAAGTGGGGGAAGGATCAGAGCAGACCAAGGACACCTGACAGAACCACGGAGATAAAGGTGTGCATATTCTTTTCTTTGATGTCTGTTCATTGGTCCCTTGCTGTCTGCGCACCTCCAGCCTGGTGATTATAGGGGTGCCTGAGCTAGTAGATGCCCCAGCCCCACCCTTGGAGGGTTCTACTATGTATATGCACAGATCTCGAAATTTAAAGAGATAGTTTCCACTTAAAACCAAATGGCCACAGCTGGCTCTGAACTATTTATAACTAGAAAAAAGGCCTGAATGGGGACTGTGCAGCAGGACAGGCAGACAAAAAAGGAAATAGGCTGAAAATGAAATCCTAAGTTATGACACAATGACCAAAAGTGGCATCTTGAAATTTCTCAAGAAGAGTGAAAAGGGAAGCCCATTTCCTGATCATCTACCTGGAGGCAATCAGAAAGCACAAAAAATACCAAAATACACACCCATCTAATATTAAGGTCACAGATAACCCTTGAATATGCCCAAAAAACAGAAGCAGACGACCATATCTGTACATGTCCAGAAACGAGATAAAGTGAC